AAGTCGTGTTTATATATTACATCCTCCATTTCGTCGCACCTTTCTCTCATCCATTTTTCTTTGGCTAATTTGTTCCCCTTTTTTATTCGTCTCTGCAGGTGTCTATATTCTGTTTCATTAGATTTTATCAGTCTACGTTGTTCAAAGATTCTTCTTCATTAATGTCTACTAAAAGCTTATCCAAAGTAATTAAAATTAATGAACTTTTCTTCGAATCGATTGATTTTCAGTATCGTCTATAGGAATGTTCTATAAATAGTTGCTTCTCCAACTCCGGTCATATCTGAACACTTAAAAACTATACTCCGAACAGTACTTGTACAAGAACATCATATACATTTAACACTAAAGAAAGTTTTCATTTTCATGGTTAAACGTCACTATATTTTAACAGGACTAAAATTAAACGTTTGTGGCGTTTTTACTGTACAAGTTCACTTATTACACTGCTAAAAAGCTGATGACAGGAACACCTATAGTAAGAAGAAGCAGGAACCGACCGCGAATTAGGTAGTTAGATGGAGTTGAGACCGACGTAGGGCTATTGGAAATCAGAAGATTGCAGCACGTTGCTAGAAACCGAACAGAATGGCAACGAATCTTAGAGCAGGCTAGGATGCACAGAGGATTGTCGAACCAAAGAATATGATAATGAAGTTCACTTATTAATATCGCTTTTTATTATAGAAGTAACAATTCTGCTGCTTATAATCACAGGACTTTACAAACACAAGCTTGTAGTCAAGTTTGCAACAAAATATCTTAACGAATCTTTGAACAAGGCATTAATTTTGAACTCTAATAGAGTGATTTTTAATTTCAAATATCTCATTCAAAAGAAGAGACTTTCGACCTTCGGTAATAATGTAGTCTTCCATTCTGCATTTAAATTTTTTAAAAATAAGTATTAGTTTTCTCAGGATTCGAAAAAATTGAATGCATTTAAAAAGCATTGGCCCGAAATTTTGCGCCTACGCTCTTAGTTAAGTGATGCGTATGGATGAAAGTAACCCTACGAAAATAACATTGCTTAACAAACCGGTCGGAAAGAGAAGAGGAGGATGACATAAGCTCCGATATCTGGATGATGGAACGATTTAAGAGGGATTGGAGTGAGGATATGGAGAAACATAGCACTTGATAGGGAAGAATATTTTAAAGCAGACCAAAACAGCGAATAGCATTGTCTGATGAGGTCAAAAGTCAGCAAAGTTATATATTATATAACTATGGATAGGCAGGAAGTAGAATCGTAAAGATTGGTATATGTACTTCTTAATTCTATTTCGTTAAATTTAAGAATCATGTCTGGTCCTTTAATATATTCTGTTAGGCATATATCTGTTTTTGTAATATTATTCTTAATAATGTATTCTGCACGCAATAATTAAAAACAATCCAATGTAAGAAAGCATTTAATGATCATTTGTATTATATAACTGATATTAATCAACGAGTTTCCTTAGCACTGCCTGCATTTATTAAAGAATGTGTTAAAATGATTTGCAATTATATCTCAACCATATATCTTCAAATGGCTTATTTATTCAACACTCATCAATCTATTAATACAGTCAAGGTATCATTTTCTATGTATTAAACCATTGATGCTCCATAAATGGAATACCAGTTAGTTTCTATTTAAGAAAAGGTAAAGCGAGATTAAGTTTTATTATTTTTATGTTCCATTTCAGTGACAACATTCTCTGATGTTAATTCTGAAAACGTCACATAATATTTTCGCTCAAATATTTGTGCGACACATTCTTCTGTTTTTCGTTCTTTGGTATAGTATGGAGCTACCACGATACGAGATCTAGCATTTAAGACTGTTGGTATAACATTTTGTTATTTTTCCTCTTCAATATACCCTCCTATCGCATCCCTACACCGCTCCTTGAGAACTTTTCACTGTGTGAAGCAGTGCTGTAGGTAATCTTCCAATAGACTGTTGAGTAGCTGCGCCGACTTTTGTTTTACGTCCTGAATGACTAGTTGCGGTTTCCTTTTAAGTAGAATTTGATTTGTATGAACAGAGATTAGTCGCTGGGTGTTTAATCTGGTGAGTAAGACGGGTGCTCCATGGTTGTGACCTGGTTTTTGGACAAAAGGGCTCTTTGTGAGCCAGTGCATTGTCGTGATGGAGGATTCAGTAATTCTATTTCCACATTTCTGCCTCTTTGTTCAAATCTGGGTTTCACGATGAAAAATTTATGTTTCGTCATAAGTTGTCACAAGAAGCCCGAGTCGTTTTTGATGCATTCCAGGGTATCAGAACAAATGACTTTACGTTACATATTCTGTTCAGCCGTTAGGAGTGTGAGCATAAGCTTATTACATACTTTCCTCGTGTTTAGTTCCTTATGCAAAATTTAAGTTTATTGTTTTGTTAATTGTAACAATATCCATATGTTTAGCAATAGATCCAATGTATAATCGGGGGGTCGTACCATTTGATACCATTCTTTTTGAATGTTCAAGTTACTTTTTGTTGTCAGGTCACCTGCCGCGCTCGTCATCTTCAACATTTTCCCTTCCCTCCATAAACCATATTTGAACCACTCAAAAACACTCTTACAGGATAGACAATCATCTCCGTGAATCCTCTGCAAAATTTCTTAGCTTTCCAATGCAGACTTCCGAAGTGTTAACAAAGAATTAAATTCACAATTATTTAACGATTTCTAAGAGACTGTTTAAGATGGCAAACATCTGTGTAACACCTATTAACCGTACTGGTGCAGATAGTTTAATCTATCTATCAGAACTAAATGCTATTGTTTGAGTTTTTTGTAACAAACTTAAGTTTGTTAAAATTAAACCAGAATTTAACTTTTTCTAGAATTTCCTTACTGTGCTCCGTTTTACCTCTACACATGAAGATTGTGTCATCTACAAAAAGGACACAGTTGGCGTTATGTAAAAAATTTGGTAAATTATAACTGATCCTTGTGATACTCCTGCTTCAGATAAGAAGCAGGAAATTTCCTGCTAAGAATAGCACCGAAAAAATGGTTTCCGATAATAAAATAGGGTCCATAAAAGATGTCCTAATAAAACTTATCGATGGACAAAATTCAGAACTAGGATCTGAAGATGGTGATAAATAAATAAAGGACTAAAGGAGTACATATGTGAGAGCCGACAAGGAGTCAAAGAAATCTACGCTGACTAGGGACAGTAATGAACGAAAGTAGGAAAAAATCACTTCCATACAAAACCCCAAAGAGCTGCATGCAGACAGAAGAAACATCAGAAGGGTGATAATCGTGTAAAAGAACAGAGGATCAAATTGAGGGAATGACAACTAATTATGAGAAAACCAGACACTAAAATTGGAACCTGTACCTTGTATTGATTTGGCCTGTAGTGCTAAAGAAATCCCTAAACTCTAAGAAATGGCTTTTATCTAGAGCACGAATAAAAAAATGAAAAAACAGGGTTTATGTTTAAGTTATGTACCTAGATCTGACAACCAAATGTCAGAGACAAGTATCTCGCCTGAGACAAGTAGAAAAGGGTTCCTTGGAAGAAAAATAAAAAAAAGGAAAAAAAATAAAAATTTTTGTTTTGTCAATTATTGTCAACAATAATTGTGTCATAATATTGTTCTGAAGCTATTTTCTTGTGGCATTGTAAATTAATTATTATTAAACTGGGAATAAACCACAATTAAAGCTAAAAATACGTTTATTGACGTTTCAATTTCCACTTCGGAAATCGTTCTCAAAATACAAACTGGTCATTTATATTGACAATTCAGACATACATTATGGATTTTAAAGTAGACGACTTTAAAATGATATTGCCAATATTGTTGAGTTGCGCTCCTGGGACGACTTTACTTATAAGATAGTTCATTCGATTACATGAAATCAACTTTAACTTGAGAATATCCGTCAGAAAAAAATCATAGCATGTAATTCGTCTTTAAAAAGACAAACACATGACATGATGACAGTAAAATTCTCCTGTTAGTGATTTCATAGTAAATTATGAGGGAAAACCAGGAAAAAAAAACCTCCCGACATTGTAAGTATTTGTTCGTGAATTTAGTTTACCTTCAACAAACATCAAAATTCTGATTTTATATGTTACGTTATTTAAAAAACATAAATGATGCATCCTATATATGTTACTGACTTACTAATACTGGTATTTTCTTATTAATAACTTCCTCTTTCAATATTGGTAACCAGATCCTACTACATTCTGCCGAGGAATTTGCGACACAATTGGCCTCATTTAGCATAATTAGAGCCGCTTCTTTGATTTTTCTTTTTTTACCATCCGTTTCTTTTAGGACTATATTTGAATTATTCCATTGAACCCTATGTTAGGCCGTATGTCGAAAGATAGGTAGGCCAGTGTCACGGCTGATTTGCACACCCCACGGGATGGGCAAATCAGTCGGAGGCACAAACGAAGACTCTTCATGAACCCTATGTTCATTATCCCATGCGTGTTTACATATTTAAGATCTATCAAATTCTCTATTTTTAATATAAGATTGATGTTCACTTATTCTAACATTTAATGGCCTTGATGATTCACCTAAATAAAACTGATCGCATTCACAAGGTATTTTTTAAAAATTATTAGAAGAATTTTTCATTCTGTAACAAAAAACAAAATTTGTTTAATTTACTGTTTGTATTTTGAGAACGATTTCCGAAGTGGAAATTGAAACGTCAATAAACGTATTTTTATCTTTAATTGTTGTTTATTCCCAGTTTAATAATAATTAATAATTGTGTCGTTACAATTAGCATTTCTACGTACCTGTCTGTTCCAAAACAAAATGTTATTTATTTTTATTTCATTGTTCTTCTAAAACGTCTTATTTAAAGTCGAGTACAAGACGGTATATTTAAAATACCGAGAAGTTTCGACTTCGAGCTTGAAATCAATTAATAATCATCCAATTCACAAATACATTAATTTTTTTAGGTTAATAATATTTTAAATATTCCGTTATTAAATTGATTTATTTATTGTAGGTTATAATAAGTGGATCAAGTGATTCGACAGTAAGAGTGTGGACTGTAAATACCGGCGAAATGGTAAACACGTTGATTCATCATTGTGAGGCCGTCCTACATCTCAGGTTTAACAATGGGATGATGGTTACTTGTTCAAAGGTAAGACAATCTATTTAATAGTAAGAAGTACGAAATGCCATAAATCATTTCATATGCGTTTTTAACATATCACTTTGATTTAAATAAGTTTTAACAAAGAATAATGGTAGATCAAAATAAAATACAAGTTGAAATTGTTAAGGAAATTGATAGGTCAAGGATATTGGACGTATGAATTTGATCTGAATTTATTTGGAATTTTGATGTATGTTTTTATCTGAAAGATGAAGTCAAACTAAAATATGATGTTGTTAACCAGCAAATTGGTTTTCAAAAACAACTCTTTTTGACACAATTGTAAACCGCATTTGTGGTTTACACAAATTAATTAATTTAGAATTGTAAAATCTCTCCTCTAAGAAGTCCTGTGCTGTTGATAAGAGCCAGCAATTTTCTGAAAGGTAGTTTAAAGCGTTCTTCTGGTTTAATGCTTGTTTTACCTTTGTATATCCACCTATGCCACTAACAAATCACATTTATGTGAAATGCAGCCCATGGGACATGAATGGAAGTTTTTTTTTATTGACCTACACCACGGTTCATTCCCACTATCTATGTTGTAAATTTTGGAAGTACAGTCACCATTATGTGTGACTGTTTTCAGAAAACGGATGAAAAAATAAAAATAAAAACACTGAAAAATAAAACAAAATCAACAACGAAATCAAAAGGAAAATCCGGCATGTCGAAGAAAACTGTTACAGCAGTAAACATCTTGAAATAGACTACTGCACGAACAAAAATAATGATACGTTTAATATGTATAAAAAGGGCAACAAATAACTAGACCATATTTATATACGTTGTACTTGTGTAGTCTACTTGACAAACAAGGAAATAATTATAGTCAATGAACCAGACAAACTGGAGAGGTGGAGGGAATATATCGAGGAACTGTTTAATGATGAAAAATAGAAATTCAAATGGAAAATATTTTGACTGGGCCACTATATATCCCTCGATTAAATGGAAATAGCTATAAAACTAGCAATAATAGGAAAATAGCCGGACCAGATTAAATGGCTAACGAAATAATCAAACTACTCGACGATAAAGCTAAATATTCTCTTCTTCAATAAAATATATGAAATAGGGCGTATACCAACAGAGTGGCTAAATGCAGATAAATAATGTAGCGAAATACACAGCTTGGTTTCAGAAATAACCTTGGAACCATAGAAGCATAGTCTGCAGGTCATGGTTCAAAGATGTAGGGATATAGAATAACTGGTAAATATGTGGTCTTTTTTAACGTATTTTAATATAACTTTTATATGTGAATAACTGATCAATTTAAGGTTATATGTAAATAACCGGATCATCTTCGACAAACATAGATATCTAGCAACAGCTGGAAATTACTGGGAAGACCACCAAATTCTCAAAAATTTGTATTGGATCAATGTGAAAACATACGAATTGGTCAGAACAGTCAGAACAAAACAGATGGAAGCACTGGAAATCAAAGTGGAAATTAGTGACGTGAGTCAGGGGTGAATTTATCCTCAAATAAGCCTTAGTGAAGAAGAAGGCATTAAAATTAATGGAATTAATGTCAACAATCTCAGGTACGACCCGATACTGATTGTTTCTAATGAAAAGAGTTGCAACTACTTATAAACAGAGTGTCCGAAGCAGCTGACGAATATTGACTAAAACTTAATACTTCTAAGGCAAAACTTATGGTTGCCAGCAACCATATGAACATCAAAACGTATGGAATAAAGTTGTAAGATTCCACTTTACAAAAAACAAACAAATCAGGTAACAGTTAAGGGTATTGTGAGTTGTGTCTTCATGCATCGCCTAATGAACCACACACTTTAAATTTTCCTAAGGATACTTCACAACAGAATTAGACGCAAATGCGAAGAAGATCTTGAAGGTACCCAATTTGGTTTTAGAAATGTAATGGAGACCAGGGAGGCACTTTTTGCGCTTAACATCCAATTACAAAATACCGTGACCAAAGAAAAGATGTATTTGCATGTTTCATGGACTTCGAAAATGCATTCGATAAAGTACAGCATGTAAAATTAATGCAAATACTGAAAAATATCGGAAAAGATGACAAGGATATTCGTGTCATTAAAAATTTGTACTGGAATCAAACTGCTATCGTAAAAATTGTAGATAACTACACCGATGAAATCTCTATACAACGAGGAGTCAGACAAGGCTGCATTTTCTCGCCAACATTGTTGAATGTTTACTCGGTCCAGTTATTTAAAAAGGCACTTGAGAGACAACCATATGGAATAAAAATCAACGGGGAACTACTTAATGTGATGAGATATGCAGACGATACAGTAATTCTATCAGATAATATTGAAGGTCTTCAAATTCTGCTTGATCGAGGAGGATCGATGAGCTCGATAGAGGACAGGAAATGGGAATTAAAATAAACTCTAAACAAAACCAAATTTTTAGTGTTTAGTCGTGACCCACATCTCGATGCAAAACTTCAATTAAACGGAGCCAAGTTGAGAAAGTTCGCAAAATGACATATTTGGGAACTGTGATAACGGACCAACTAGATCCAGACATAGAAATAAAACGTAGAATGACTAAAACTACTTTTATGAAAATGAAGTCATTTCTTTGAAATTACCATCTCAGTTTAGAACTAAGGCAAAGAATGTTTAAGTGCTATGTTTGGTCCGTACTTTTGTATAGCGCAGAAGTGTGGACGCTAAAAGTATCGATCATGAACAAAATTGAAGCATTGGAAATGTGGGTTCATAGACGAATGCTGAAGATACCTTGGTCAGCAATGAAAACTAATGAAGAAGTACTAAGGAGAGTCAACAAAGATAGAGAACTGCTGAAGACTAGTAAACATCGAAAAATGTCTTACGTGGGACATATAGTAAGGGGAAGTCGATATAAAATATTACAACTGATCCTTAAAGGCAAAATAGAGGGCCGTAGAGGTTTAGGAAGAAAACAAGTTTCTTGTTTAAAAAACATTCGTGAATGGACTCAGATACCAAATGCAGGACAATTATTCCATATTGCAGAAGATCGAGAAGCATTCACAGTGGTGATCGCCAACGTCGGATAATTCTGATATGGCACGCGAAGAAGAAGAATATACTTAGAAGAATGCCTTGACAGACTTTAAGGGCTTCGAAACTGTGGATGTTGTTTATTGTCCATCTAATTCACTGTGTTGCTTAGGACGCTCTGCCATCTTCTTCGTTTTTGCGGGGTTTTTTTGGTATTAGATATGTCTGTTCATCACTTCAAACACTAATACTGTTGTCATTTATATATTTACATGTTTTGCGACGTTGGCAAATTATTTTCAAAGGTGGAGTTAAACTTTTATTCAAAAATAAAAATATTTTTTTAACATTATTAAAATTATTTTTTTTTTAACACCTTTATCAACGTCTGTTTTGCTTTGCAATTTTTAGAAAGCACAGATTAAAGCGGAAATCTGAATTGTGTTTAGAAACTATTTTACGGTTTAAAAATATTTTTATTGCTTTATATGTGGAATAGATTTATTTGAACAATGATATAGAGGTTATTGGTATTGAATGACGGCATATGACCATTATATATTAATGGTTCTTGGGTTTAGTTTCAATAAAGATATATTACATGTAGAACTAGATTTTATTTTCCATAGCAATCAACGTTTCGGCAGGAAACCCTTGCCTTTGTCAAGATTCAAAACGTAAAACGTGACACAGACACTAACGAACTCAGTTTTTATTCATTATTTTGCTTATACTGTATTTTTTGTTTTAGGATCGTTCGATTGCAGTATGGGATATGACATCTCAATCAGAAATAACATTACGTCGAGTGTTGGTAGGACACCGAGCGGCTGTGAATGTCGTGGACTTTGACGAAAAATACATAGTGTCCGCGTCGGGTGATAGAACTATTAAAGTGTGGAATACGTCATCGTGCGAATTTGTTCGAACTTTAAATGGGCATAAACGGGGTATTGCTTGTTTGCAATATAGGGATAGGTTAGTGGTTAGTGGTAGTTCTGACAACACCATAAGGTAAGTTTAAAATTATTAATAGTCGTAAAGAACTTACTACATGTTTTACGGGTGTGTATGTGTGTGTGCGTGTTGTGGGCAGTCTATGCCTTAGGATCAGAACTCTTTCTCTATGTTTATATTTGCATTGGTAAGCAAGATTTCAAGGTTATTACCTATCATCAGACATGCGCAAACATGCCAAAACCCAAATCCAGAGATCCAAGACCTACCTGATGTATGTTCCTTATGTGGATTAAGATGACTTAATTGGCAGATTTAGGCAGAAAAATTGGCTACAAGTAGCGTACAATAAAAACCAATGGAAAGGAAGACTTGAAGAGGCTTATGTTCAGATATGGACGTGAATGGCTAGACGAAGAAGAAGAAGAAGAATTGGCAGATAATGGCAGTGTAAGAATAAACGTGTCGGTATGGCTTTCGACAGGAGGAAGTTAGAAAGACATATTTAAAACGACATAGGATTATAATGTCCTCGAAACACCTTGTCGAAAATTGAATGGTGAAATAATTGGAGAGACGAGTTTCAACATTGTCGTCAAACTTGTTGTTTTTATTTGTCCTGTCGTTTTTTTAGTATTTGGAAAATGTGGTAAGACAACCAAATTTGGGCAAATAGATTTAAATGGCAGCTTACTATTTTTTGAGAATAGGCCACAATTTTACTTCAAAATAACTTTATTTTAAATTTTTGATTTGACCTTCGGAAATCAGTTTCAAAATACAAAACATTAATAGAAAAAAAATATTAATGCTTTGTATTTTGAGAACGATTTTCAAAGTAGATATCGAAACTTAATTAAAAATAAACTTATTTAAAGTAAAATTGTGTCTTACATATTTTAAAGTCAAATTGTGGCTTATTTCCAATAAGAATAGTAAATTATATTAAGATGCCACAAGAAAAAGTCTCAGAAAAATCTAAATGGCATCGTTGCTTTAGTCTCTTAGTGGAAGATTGGTTTTGAAGGCATGGCCATGAGTTATTCTCCCTTCTACGGCACGACGACAGCCCAAATTAAGCGTTGGCCTTCTTTATTTTTTGCCTCCGCCCTTGTTTGTCTGTGGCTGATCTCCATACAGGACTCCTAAAAGGGCTTGTGCGTCGCTGTTTACTGGGTCTCCCCATCGCTTTTTTGACTCTCCAACCGATCTCTTTTCCTGCATTCTAGCATTCAGTGCTCTTTTTTATAGCCTATCCTCTTCCATTCTTATTACATGTCCGGCCCATTGCAATCTTTGTATTCTAATGAAGTCTGGCAGTGTTGCTTTCTTATAAAGTTGATAAAGCTCGTTATTGTATCGACTTCTGAAGATTCCGTTTTCCCTCACAGGTCCTAGTATTCTCCTCAGTACTTTCCTTTCGAATGTGTCGAGTTTGCTTTTGGATGTTTCTCTCAGGACCCATGCTTCACTACCATAGCATGCTATTGGTCAAATTAAGGTTTTACAGATTCTCATCTTTGTATTTCGATGGACATTTTTAGACCGAAATATATGGGAGAGGGCAAAATAAGCTCTGCCTGCGTTATTCTCTTCCGTATTTCTCCATCTTCTGGTCCGTCGGCATATATTTCGACTCCCAGGTATGTAAACTTTCCCACCGTTTCAATGTCATCTTCAAGTAAAATGTTTTGTGGGACTATGTTTCTTCTCGTCGGTATCATTTTTGTTTTTTCTGTGTTAATTTACAGACCTAGCTCTTTTGTTTGAGTTTTTAACTCTGCATTTGTTTCATGTGCTCCTGTTAATGTTCTACTCATAATATTAATATCATCGGCATAAGCAGCCAGTTGAACCGTTCGGTTGGTCAGTAGGTTTCCTCGTCCAGTTTGCATAAGTCCTCGTCCATGAGTTATTGCTGTTAGTAAAAGTGTATTTGTAATTCAGTATTACCTGATCACTAATATGAAGATTAAATGGGTGAAAAATTACGTCTTTTAATTAAAAATAATATATAATTTGGCATTTTAAAAATAATATCTTTGAAACCATATTTTTGTTTAGCTAGTTTAGAAGTACTTGTTGTGAATATAGTTTGAAAATGAAATAAAATAAAAATTTATTCCAAAACTACTGCTTAAATTAAAAATACAAACACCACCTTATGCCAAATAGAAACCAGATCTATTATACAACGCCTTTCTAATGGCGTTGAGTTTATTTGCCAATATGTTTTGGCTCAGTTCGATTATCTTTTGTCTCAGTTGCTCTGATTGCTTGCTCGAATTCATACCTGTAAAACTTGGTCTTTAGCACCCCCCAAAAATAAAAATCTAGGGGAGCTAAGTCGGATGACCGAGGGGGTCGTTTTATTGTACCTTATGTACTAATCACACGTTCACGAAAACTTTAAGCCAAATAGTCCCTAACGGCCTGTGCATTATGTGAAGGACAGCCTTGTTGAAAACAAAAAAAAATCGTTTAAGTTGATTTGAAGATGTTGAAGTGCAGCGTTCTTGACTTTTCCCCAGGTTGATCTGATGCACAGCAGTTTTTACATCTGCCAATAATACAGCCAAACTTTTTAAGTTAATAAGTAATGGCCAATACAGTTTTTTCTACCAGTATTGGCCGATCAAAAGCTGTAATAAATAAATTAATAGTTTCTTGTACAGAATGACCCTCCAAAGTACCATTGTCTTTTTGCAGTTGTGTAAACAGTCGGTATATTAAATTTTGACTATCACACCTTGTTACTTCTAAAATAAATGAGGGATACACTTAAAACAGTGTAATGGGATCGGAAACAAACTGTTTTAGGAATCGTTCCGTATACCGCTATGATGATGGGCTTTCATGCACAAAGTTACTGTCTTCATCCATCACCTTTCTTTTCCTTTTTATAGAGGGTGGGTCTGGAATCTTCAAAAGACATCTCAGTCCAAGACGCCGCCTGACTGACCTTAGTGCAGGATTCGTTCTTCTTACTGCCGGCGATAGTTCTCGAGGTACTTTAAAATGTCCTCTCGTCGCCGAATCTTCGCCGAACGCCTACCTGCTAAACCAGACCCTCCTCTGTCATCCAGCGATCCGGTAGCGGAATGGCCGCTGTAAGGCCGGCATCACTTCCGGAGCACTACCTTTATTCATTCATTCTCCATTCATACTCCATTCATCAGCAAGGAGGCTCTCCCTGTCTTGTTCCAGGTAGCGCGTAGAAGACCCTCATCGCTCTTAGTACGGCATCATTCCCAGGCGGGCATTTTCTCCTTCGCCACAGTCTGACTCATGCATTCTAACTCATACAGTCTGACCCACTTTTCTAGCTTCAACTTTCAGCATCTTTCACTCTCACTTTTGCCGTTGGTCCAGATGTCTTTCTTTCTCTTCCTTTTACTTGATGACTGCACGGATATAGCTGTGTATGTTAGTTCAACTTGATTTATTTTCAATCATTCTCTCAATCATTTCCAACTGTTAACAAAATTCACACCTGTCTCTCTCTCTCCATTCCATTCCTTTCTACTATCCATCTGCTGCAATCTAACATCGTATGTGTCACAGTGTTCCGAGTATCCACAGTATAGGCATTCATCTGTGTCAGCCTTTCCGAATCTAGAGAGGTAGGTCCTAAAACACCCGTGTCCTATGAGCACCTGCGTCAGGAAATAATCCAGTCGCCTGTGGCCACAGTCCACCCAATCTCTTATTTTCGAGATCAGCATTTTCGTGTCACATCGAGCACTGTGTCACATCCTTCGTGTTGTTCCATTTTTCTTGCAATCGTTCAAATGGCCTTTCCCTTTCCTGTCTTCTTCTTGAAGATGGATTGTGACATCTCCTTTTCTATCAATATCCTTGCGACTTTATGACGCATCAATTTTAATATGGCTACCATAAATGCAACCAATAACGCCAGGAAATCCAGAAAGCTAAAAAAAATGATTTTCTGAGATTTAAGCGTCGTTTAGATCTGTCCATTTTATGAAATGTTGGGATATTTTAATAACCTGTTCCATGTGAAATTCATTGTGAATTATAATTATATTTTTCTTTCTCCTCCTTTTCATCAGTATTTCAAACATTTTGTCTTCCTCATCAGAATCATACTCAAAAAATAAAAGCAACTGTTGGTCCATAATAATAAACAAATAAAATTATCAGCTCGATTTAAAAGAAACAACAAAATCAAAAGTTAAATTAAAATTTGTAGGTACTTTAGTTTTTAAATTAAACTAAAAATAAAATGATATTTTTTGTAAACAAACAAATCTGCCAACTGAACATATTCCCATCACCTAATCAAGGTGCTTTGTAATTTAGTAAACTAAATAATTTATTTTTGATATGATATAAATAGAAATCCGAAATTTTAGATTATGGGATATAGAATGTGGAGCTTGTTTGAGAATATTAGAAGGTCACGAAGAGCTTGTTAGATGTATAAGATTTGATTCCAAACGCATCGTTAGTGGTGCTTACGATGGCAAAATTAAAGTTTGGGATCTATTGGCAGCGTTGGATCCTAGGGCGCCGACGAATTCTTTATGTTTAAGGACTTTAGTGGTAAGTAATTTTTAATCAACTTTAAATCTGTAGAAAAAATTGTTATGAGATATAGAACTAAGTTCCACTATATTCCACCATTTATGTCAAAATTGCGGGCGCACACGTACGAAATTTCGTATCACGTTTATTTTCCAATGATAACACCCATTCACGGAGATAGCATACATAAGAAGTTATTGCTACTATATTATAGGGTAGCATGGAGGGCCAGTATCAAATACCTATTCAAGGCAGCACGTTCCATTTATGTTTCACGCCGGCAGGAATCAGCCTGTCTATCATAGTCGATATTATCGCTGTATACTGCAAGCTTTCAATTTTGAGTCGTTGTCTGAGTAACTTGGAAGATACGAGAAAAAACAACTACTATTATTTAATGAACGAAATTTTGTCAGATGAAGAATCATTCTGATACTCATCGGATAGTTATGTAACTAGTGTTAGTTATGTCCCCCAGGGTGAATCAAAAATATATAATGACTCTTAGTCTTCCCCTATGGGTTTTGGACAATTGTAATCCTAGTCCTGGATGTTTGGCTTTTACCGTACCCAATTTGGGAATATATCACTGCCAACTGGGTCAATTAGAATATAAATATTGGCGTTAACTCGAAAATACTGTAAAATTTTGGAAAAATCCTATTGATTGCGCCAATTATATCAGTATTGGCGTCTTAACTCGAAAATACTATAAATTTCTGGAAAAATCCTACTGACTGCTCCTACAATATCAAGCGCCTAAAACGATTTTTTAAGAAATGAATATTGTAATAGAATTTACTTGTTCGAAACGTACAATTTCAAATACAGTAACGACTGCAAACTAAAATGCTCTAAATATCATAAAACAGTGAATTTGTACTTTGTACAAATCTTTGTACTCTGTACTTTGTAAGTACTATGGATGTGCCATGGTCGTAACTTTGGTAGTAATTAATATTTTCTGAAATATTTTGTCTGTGTTTATGATTTGTTTACATTTCTATTTTTGTTTTCTTCATAAAATTGCTTAACGATTTTTTGTTAAAATGTAACTGAATTGTATTTTGTAGGAACACACTGGTCGTGTTTTCAGACTACAATTTGACGAATTCCAAATAGTTAGTAGTTCGCATGACGACACTATTCTCATCTGGGACTTTTTGAATTCTGTACCCGATCCCAAACCTAAAACTAGTGAGCCTAAATCTCCATCACGTAAGTATTATTTTTCATTAATTCTTCAGAATATAAACAATTATATTCAGACTGTGAAGTGAATTATAAATTAGTGTAACTATAATGCATACTGTTTATACGTTTGTATATTCGTCCAAACCAATTTTGGGAACATTTTCTTCTTTTTGAAGCTGACATGTCGGTTATTTTGGATATTTTAGTGAAAATATTTGGCGACATGTAGTGACCTTCAAAGAAAACACACTGAATTGTATTCCGTATTATAATGCACACAATAATAATTGTATTAGATTTATTTATATTTGATTTATGGCATAATTTTTTGTAATTTTCTATATTTTACAAAATAAACAAGATTTAGGGCTTGCTTTTCCAATGTTGTAAGTGCCATTTAACAAATTTTAGAAGAAGAAGAAAGTAATAATTCCTTTATTTGTTGTATATTACCTTAATTAAATAGTTTTATAATAAAGTCCACTTATTGCCTTAAAAACTACATGAAAAGTAGTAAGTGCCAAACAATCTGTAAGTCAACAGCAAACATAATCCAGAAGAGTGACTCCAGAATTTATGTGAGATCTGTAATAAGATCTAAGAAGAACATCTAATACAAAAGAGAGAGGAGGGGATAAGTTGGATGAATGACAGTATACTGCAACCAGTGTGAAGAGATATAGTTGTTAGAACAAAAACATGATACATTTGGTATGCATAATAAGCTAAAACAAGCAGCTGGTCTTCAAAAATTCAACACAACTGACAAAGTAAAAGATCAACAGGAGAACACCATCACAGATAAAAATCAAGAAATATGCATATGGACCAAATACATACAAGAACTGTTTGATGATAATAGATCCTAACAACCTCCGTCCTATATATGTAATGACTACTTACCAAGTATATCAGATGAAGTGGAAAAAGCAATATCACAACTAAAAGATGGCAAAGCTACTGAACCTGACAATGCATATGCTGAACTCATAAAACTATTTAAAACCGACGGTAATTGACGTGAGTCAAAAAATCAGTATCTCCCTTTTGTTTTCGAAAATGTTTCTGCCACAAGATAATTTCATCTTTTTTCTACAGTGCGTTAAGTTTTTGATTAGGTATTGCACACTATACGGAGCGCTAAAATCGGCAACGTTGCAAATGTTCGTTCTCCGACCCGAAAATCTACACCGACAGAAAATCATTTATTTTAGTTTAGTAACTCACAACAATGTTAGGGATGTACTTCTCTGTCGTCCGATTTCATGTTTCATTACGTAAAGCCGATTTTAATAGTAGGAAATTCGATAAAAATGCACTGACCTAATCGATTAGATGCATTGTTATCGATTTTTATTAATGTGAAATTTTTTTTTGTGGTTGAATTAAAAATAAAAGCGTATTTCTTTAAAAAGATAAAATAAAAAATATACTCTTATTGAAAATTAAAATATTATTCCTAATAAAATAAAAAATAATTCTTTATGACCTACAGAAATGGTTCAAATAGTTGACCTTCTACGGCTGAACAGTACCCCAATCTGTCATAAAAACTTCTGCGAACAGATGAAAGAGTTTCTGCTGTAACAGAATTGGAGACTTCTCTTATTCGATTTTTTAATTCATCCAAATTTTGGGCTCTAGCCTCAGGATGAGCGTAGATAATGCTTTTTAAATGTCCCCAAAAAAAGAAGTCCATGGGTGTAAGATCTGGAAATCGCGCAGGCCACTTAATATCGCCTGTTCCACTGATAACTCGATTCGGAAAAGTATTGTTTAAATACTCCCTAATAATTCGAGCGTTGTGAACTGAACAGCCGTCTTGATGAAACCAAACATTCTCCAGATTTACATCAGGAAGATTGAGAATAGCGGGAAGAACATGATTCTGTAACAAATCGAGGTATACTCTACTATTCAAGTTGCCCTCAATAAAAAATCGACCTATTATGTGGTCTCCTAAAATGCCAGTCCAGACGTTAACTTTTTGAGGACGTTGAGTTCGGTAAACAACACTTCTGTGCTGGTTTTCCTGCGCCCAATACCTCGTAATGGAGGGATTGTGTCTCCCTACTAACGAAACAGAAGATTCATCAGTGAATAAAATGTTTTTAATAAAATTTGGTTCACTATTAGCCTTCGTTATTAGAGTTTCACAAAACTCCATTCTTCGAAAGTAATCGTCTGGATAAAGCTGCTGCGTTTTCGAATATTTAAAATTCTTGTAACCGTGCTTTTTCAATACTTTCGTTACAGTAACATTGCTAAAATCTAACTCTTTAGCAACGCTTCTACTTGAACGTGTTGAAATCTACCTCGATTGTTGCACAAATTTGTGTATCCCGGTATTCACTTTCCTCAACTTTTTCTGGTAACACTTCTCGAGCGTGACATTTTCTGCAATTTTTGAGGCAATAACAACTCTCAAAATTTTTAACAATATTATAAATTGACTGTACACAAGGAATTGGTCTTCCCTCAAAAAACACAGAAAATAAATCTACACACTGTTGCGCAGAATTGAGCTTTTTCCGCGGCCATATAAACAGACATGTTTACAAAAATAAATTAAAACTCTACGCTGTTATACCTTTAAACAACCACGGTATAATGACAATATGACAAATTTGCCGACGGGCGACGTGCAACGACGAGTCAACGAACCAGATATGTAGTGCAAGTTGACGACGCGCAGTGTTGCCATTTATAGAGTGTATACCTAATCCAAAACTTAACGCACTGTATAAGAACACTGTTCCTGCTTCTTTATGTTCATTTGCCCTAATGTTCGCAATAAAACACGTCGTGATATTTTGGGTATTGAATCATCGGAATTTATATCGACTTCAACTTTCTTTAAGGTTGCGATTTCGTTCCGAAAAAAGAAAGTTTCCTCCAAATATTTGGTGTCATCTTCAAGCTGGATGCGATTTCTACCTCTGGTTTTACTGTTTTTAAGAGATAAATTATCATAAGCCTTCACTTTGTTAAAAATTTTTTAGAATTCTGTATACTTTATCTTTGATACCACTCGTTTTTAAGAGCTGGCAACACTAATTTGCGACCATTTTTCCCAGGCAACCTTATATCATCATATTAAGGAAAAAAATTAGCTTAATTTGATATAAAAAAAACATGCATATACGTCATAATCAGAGTATTTACTTTAATTCAAAAATAAATGAACGAAATATAATTGTTGTTCAAAAATTTAATTACTATTTTAAATAAAAATTACCGCCACTTTTTGACTGGCAACTTATTATTAATGTATTCTCCTAATTTTAAATGTATATAAAATGTGAGTTTGATTAACTACACTCTGGGCCAAAATTAACCAGCCATCTTAAAAATGGGTAATTTTTTATGTCATATCTCCTAACCCTGTTGTCCGATTTGAGTGATTTTTTTAATATCTTATAGCCTTATTCCTTGACAATATCTTTATAATAATATTGATTCTAAACAGGTAAATTTTCATTGTATACCGGGTGTACGAATTAAACTGCGTTTTTATCTTAAAGTTTGCATCACCCTGTGGAATATTCTAGGATTTATAAAATATTGAAATTAAAACCTAACTCATGTTTTTCAACATTTTTTTTATTCATTTGCTTATGTTGGATAATACAAAAGTTAGGTAGTTTAACAACTAGCCATGTTTTTCATTAATACAGATGATTTAACTCATTAGCAAAATTAACCCCACCACGTTTATTATTGTTTTGTTTACATTACCTGTGACAGTTTGTTTCCTAAATTTGTGTCATCGAAGAATTTCAGACATATAGTCGTTGTACGACATTGTTGCAAATCTGTTTCCGTGTTAATAACAATTCTTAAACAATTTGTAATTAAAATTGTAATTTTATATCATTATGAGCGAATATTGAAATTTTAGTGCTTATTTATTGTTTGTAATTTTAAAAATGCCACTCTTTCCAACTGATGCTGCTAGGGAAGTGGTTTTAGTTGATGCTGGTCACAGTAAACGTTATATCGCTGGTATACTCGATCTACCCAGAACTACGGTACAAGATGCCATCAGACGATTTCGGGAGACAGGATCGTACAACCGCAGGCCAGGTCAAGGCCGAAAACGATGCACTTCAGTTCAAGATGACCGCTTCATTGTCACTAAAGTATTGAGAAATCGCTTTTACACCGCTCCTGAAGCTCGTAAGTCTCTTCTTGAGGTGAGAAACGTTAGTATGAGTAGACAAACGATTAGAAGAAGACTTTCAGAAATAAACTTGAGGGTTTTTCTTCCAGCTCGCGCACTACAACTGCTCCTACAACACCGTAGGGCTAGACTTCATTTTGCGCGAGAATATGCTAACTGGTCTATGGCGGAATGGAAGAATATACTGCTCTCAGATGAAAGCAGAATAGCCCTAAAAGGTCCAGATGGACGTCAACCTGTCTATAGGCGTAAAAATGAAAGGTTTGGTGCATGCGCTATAACCGAAACAGTGGCTTACCAAGGAGGGTCAATAATGATTTGTTGAGGTATTTCTTAAGAAGCGCGAACTGATCTTGTGTTCGGTAGAGGCAGTGTGAATGCTCAAGTATACGTGCAAGAAGTTCTCCAAGACCATGTCATGCCTTTTGCACCATTCATTGGTGATAACTTCAGACTAATGCATGAAAATGCACGTTGCCATGCATCAAGATCTACTCGTGAGTACCTTAATGAGGTAGTGATTCAAGTTTTACCATGGCCAGCACACAGTCCCGATCTTAACCCAATTCAGCATATCTGGGACAACCTCAAAAGACGGGTAAGAGCAAGAGTACCAGCCCCTGCATCCTTTGAAGAGCTGAAGACAGCTGCGGTAGAGGAGTGATATCCAGGAGTGATGACAATCTGATATCCAGGATATCATGAATGGGTTGCCAAACCGGCTCCAAGAAGTCCTAAAGGCTAGAGGCGGCAACATCCATTATTGATACCCAATTTTTTTTTCAATTAGACTTTGATTTCCAAAATATTGTTAATTTGAGTTTTCTTCGAAGATTTTATTCATTGTTTAGTTGTTAAAGCATCCAACTTTTGTATTATCCAACATAAGCGAATCAATCAACAAATAAAATGTTGAGAAAACATGAGGCTATAGTTACGTTTTAATTTCATTATTCTACAAATGCTAGAATATTCCACAGGGCGATGCAAACTTAAAGAAAAAAAACACAGTTTGATTCGTACACCCGGTATACAATGAAAATTTACCCATTTTTAAGGTGGCCGGTTAATTTTGGCCCAGCGTGTATGTTATGAACGTATTGTTCTTTCAGTGGGATCTTGTACTATAACTGTTTCGTACATAAAACCCAATATGTCCACATTTGGCACTTACAAAGTTTTGGAAAGGCCGGCTTTATATATAAAAAGCTTTTTCTAATGTATACATTGTTTTTTTTTTCAGCGTTTACTTCGTACGAGTGAATCTTCAAAACAGAAACGTTAACTATGGTTGTATAGACAAATAAAATTATATTTATTCGTGATTTTCAGTGTGTCTCAAGATGGGACAACGATCTGTAAAATGCCTGAATGAGGTCTGCAAGTAATGGTGACTATGAAACTCTTCTTGGATATACCTAAATTAATTTGAACTTAATTTTGTAGTAATCTGTACATTTTGCAATTTATGTAAATGATATATTCTTTTTCGGAAAATCACTTTTTACTTTTTACCCAATTGTTTAAAAGAAGAAAAGTATTTTAAAAATGATTGTCAGTTTATAGTTGCATAGTGCTTTTATCTTAATTTTATTATATGGGGCATTTTTAAGTGAGGTATATTTGAAAACCAATAAACGAAACATGCATTTCCAGTTATTTTATTCTTCCAATAGTGCTAGTAAAATAATACTGTATTATTATTTGTTTTCAATTACTAAATTGACCATTTTGGTGAAGTGCCGATATTCAAAAACCGGTATGATTGGGGAACTTATACTAGATGTTCATTCTTCAGCAGTTGTAAAAATATGTAATAAATACCAAAACAAATGTATTAGTAATTAATGCATTTGAATGAAGAGGTGAGTACAGCTAAGAAATATTTACCCACCCCAATAACTAAGTGGATCATTGTTTGTTCGAAAATAATAGTTAATGGCAAATTCTATCAGATCAGTGGAAGTTTAATAATTTTATTGAGTAAGGAAAAATAAAAAAAAGCTTGGATAGTTTTAAAATAATTTAAAATGATGATTGTATATTAATGGATGCGAAGAGTTGTTAACTGTGAGAACTTCGAGTAGGAAAGAAAAGTCGAGAAAATAGAATACAATAAATGGATCACGTTTGTGTAGAACACAAATTGACAGTATTATTTAGAGAAAATTACTAAATAAGCCGAATCGATGTAGAGAAAAAGAAATAGAATGTTTGATGATGATTATTAATATAAAATGCGTCTGTTAAGTACGTCTTTCTATAATATTCCGTTCAAGATCTCCGTTTTTCAACATTACAATTTTTTTTATTTTGCTTGTACGTTTTCATGTCTAATTTCGTATTTACTAGTTATATCTATATTCCTAACATCGACAAATGTGATAAAACAAAAGGTAAGGTTTTAACGTATTATTTAACAATCGAATAATTTATAAAATACAGTGTTGTTGGTTCACTTTTTTATGAAAATTGTGGTATTAGACCAGTCATCAGTGGAAATAAAAAGAATTACTGTGAAATGTTGTTACCCCAGAACGATTTTCCTAAAAAATTGTGTTTAAGCTCTACTTCAAAATCTACAACGTTCCGGGATGCGCTTTTCATTTTTTTAAAGGTTAAAACTACCCCTTATTACAAAAAATTTTAAAACAGTTGATTTTAGCTGGTAATTGGTTAAATATTTGAATGTATTACTTGTGAATCTCTTCATACTCTTAAAGAAGATTTATCTCTAAACACAAAGATTTAACCCGCTGTAATAATTCTGTAAGGGTAGTAATTTTTAAAATAATTTTAAAAATATTTATTATCAGTTGAAATGATTTAAAAGTGTGTCATATTAAATTTAAATTATTATGCTTTAGTCAGTTATATTAGTTATATTATTATGAGTTATATTATTTGTTGAAATGCTTTAGCCCTTATAAATTATTTCCTGGAGGTGCTAAATATTGAAAAATTCTGTAAAAAAGAGTTTTTACGATTTGAAATTATTTAAAAGGGCATTAATATCAAACGAATTAATTTTATCAATAAAATAAAAATTATTATTTGTATAATCGCTTTTTCAACCCTTACAAATAATCTCCTAAGAATATTAATTAAAAAAAGTAAACTAAAAAAATATATATAAATAAAAATTTAATTTAATAATCTTTTAAAGTGTCTCAAATGTTAATAAATGAAAATACTTAAAATATGAGTCATAATCTCGTAAAAAGGTAAAGCTCTTCGTTTCTGCATAAAATATGACACACAAAAGTATGACACATAACATTATTTTCATCACAGAAACATACAAAACTTTTAATAATGAAAATAAATATGAGTTAATCAAAAAACCTGTAACATAAATGATCAAAATAAAATATTTACGCACTCACACGACTCACAGGTCGATGACATTCGAAAAGAACATCTGATACTGCGAAAACAGGTGCATTTGGGATGACCTTCCGACAAAATAAAGCGATAAAAGAGTGACAAAGGTCAGAGATCGTATGCCTGGCATTGAATGTGCGAGGCGCCATTGAAAAAAATTGGTCTGTGAAATGGATTGCTAGTGGGACTCACATGTGTGAGTCCCACTAGTAAGTTTAAACAACATAAATATCGACGTCTGAATGCATATTGCTCGGAGATTAAAAGCAGACTGACCAAAAAAAATTGGTATTATTTCTTTTTATAAGTTTAATTTAATAAGTTTATAATTATATGAATTTTTGGGAAGGGGAACAATAGTTTTGTTCTAAATATCTGCTCCCTTGAGAAAATAATTACGCTTTAACTAAATTTAGCCAAAACCAATAAGATTCTAAAAGTGATTATGTAAAATCGCTCTGAAGTGGACTAAATTAAGAGAGAGTGTGCCTGTGAAATTTGAATGTTCTAACCCCAAACATAATTTATAACGAAAAGGGAATTTTTAAGAACATACACATATACCTATTCGAAGCGATAAAATTAATAATCTTTAAAAAGAAATACAGTCTCGTCAAAAGTTTTAAATTCAAGAAATTCAAGAGAAATTAACATGCCACATTATTGGGGAATTAAAATTTGATATTTTTTTCACTACAACTTTATATTGATAGAAACGAGCGGCATCATCGCACAAACACTTACGACTATATACATACTGTAGAAGAGGAATCTCGTGACAAAGCGGAGCTTCCAGTACGCAGAGAGATAAAGTATTTTGTCAGAAAAGGATGGAATTTACCCGAACATTACAAATATTGTACTGCTTGATAAACAATCGCTAGATATTAAAAATTTTACAATGTTGTCAATATGTGAATGACCACAGTAATGTTAAGTATTATTAGTATGATATCTGAAAAAATGAGTTTCAAATAATTGGCACAACAATTTAATGATTAAAAGGATAAGGGAATAATTTTTGGTGAGGTATGGTATACACTGCGTCCCAAAAAAATTTATACAAATGAAGAAAAGTGTATCTTACATTTTACAAAAAAAAACCATTATTGAGCAAGAGCTCGGCATAGAAGAAAAACAAAAATAATGATTTGATTAAAATGTAATATTTACGAAATCATTATGAAACTTTCATTTTCAAAGATCCTTGGATCAAAAAGAAAACTTCACTGTTTAACTGGTAAGTATTTAACGTTTCAAAAAAAATATTTAAATAAGGCAATAATTACGATTCTTACTATCATTTTAATATTTTAAATCCTATTTAATATAACAATACCACATTGAAAGACACAGACAATGCAGTCGAACACAAACAGCGGACACTAAATACATCGTATAACAAGGACAAGTTAAACACTGAGATTGCAAAAATCGTTCCCCTGTTTTAAATAACATTTTTTCCGATTGACCATCTACCTCAAAAATTTAATTCCATTAAGATATTAAATAATACCAGATCATTTAATTTTTAAATATCAACAAAAATGTAATATATGATGACAAGTATGAATTTGATTGTAATACAATCTTCACAGATATCGCCGCCGCATTAAAATATTTTACACATTTTTTAAATAAATATTGTACATATTTTTTTGTCGATAAGATTGCTAACATGAATCATTTGTCAATAATATGTGTGGATGGAACTTTATTTTTCTAATAATATGTTCTTGCAAAGGCATAACTTTGATTATTTGGTAAACCTGTATTATACGTCACAAGAAAATAAATTTAATTTGATTAATTTTGACAGAGTTCTGAAAAAATATTTTGCATAAAATGAGCAAAACTGAAATAGTTAAAACAGAATACACAAATGCAAAACGTAAAATCACAACAAAATCAAATTTAAATAACGCCAGTAAAAGAAATAATGCAACAGTGTAAAAATATCCAGCACCCCACTGCATAACGTTTACTGCACGAATGGCTTTGTTGGACCCCCACTTTCAAATTTGTCTCTGCGCGGTAACTTTTTTATTTCATGAGACATAAGGTCGACACACATATACAGTATCGGAAAGAATTTAAGGTGTTTATGCACTTTGAATGGTAGGAAGTGAGAGAAACATATTTAAAACGATATAGTCATACTAGTAGGCGGTACCATCAAACCAGTTCGTTTTGTAGCCATGTTTCTGTAATGCGGCGTTGCCAGATGGTCGAAGTCAGAAAATCGTATGCCGTTGTTCAAATTGTACTATTTAATAGTACGGATTATCGTACTTCTTATATATTCTATTGAACAAGAAATTTACAAAGTAGAAAAAATAAAATATACAATTTTTTTGTAAAAGAAACAAACGAAGACAAATAAACAAACAAATTATTTAAAAGAAAAAAACTTAAAGCAAAAAATTATTCATCATTCAGTTAATGTGCGGTTCATAACTTCTTGCAGGTCATCATCAGCTTCTTTATTGCATAAATTGGTTGTATTCATAGTTTTAACCATGATTTCTGACAGTGTAAAATTGACACAACCCTTTTGAAGATAAAATTATTAAAATGACTGCATAATACCAAATAAAGTGTATGTTACCAAGCAGTTACTGTACTGTCTTTATTAAATTTACATTTAAAAATTGTCTTTCACAACTTGCATTTGAATGGGCCAAGGTTAACACAGATAATGCAAAGTCACTCAAATTGGCAAATAGAGGATAACCATTAAATTGTTATATTTTATACATTTTAAAATAAAATTCATTCGAATTTTCGAATTCTATTGGAATATTCTGGTATTGCTGAAGTTTCCTCCATTCGTCATCGATCTTTTGCATCGTTTGTAGGTCCTTAGGTATAAAAATTGAGGGCAATTTTGACATTGGTGGTAAAATACTTCGGCAACTGTTAAAGCTAATTTTATTTAGTAGGTGTATATTGCCCATGACTAGGTCTGCAAAATTATTTCCTTTTTTGCTTCCATACAAGCTGTAATCAAAAACGCCTGCATTTTTCGTAAAAATCCTATTTCAATTCATCATCCAAATATTCCAAATCATAATATTTTGGCGTCATCCCAATTCCTAGATACATGTTGTTAATGTTGCCAAATTTTGTAATACCTTAAGGATCAACCGTTTCAATATTAGTTTGTCTTACATATTACAGGTCCATCTAAGTAAGCAATATATCTTTATGCATTTGTGAT